TCAACAAAACAACAAATCCACAAAACAGGCTTCTTCTTGAACTCTTTATCCCCCCAATGGAGCATAGGCCCTCAACCAACTCAAGCCAAGTCATTCTATCCTTTACTATCACATGCTGCTCCACCCTTGTCCTCCCTGTATTTTTCGCTTCACTCTCCTTGTGTTCTCTGCCCCACCTTTATTCCTATTACCCTGTGGGTTCCAGTGTAAACAGATTTGCATTATAAGGTTCCCAGCTGTCTTAACGCCCATCCTACCTTCTAAACACATCATGCTCTCTAATAACCAACCAACCATGAAACAACCTACCTACAATAAATAATTCAAACATGCTTAGTGTGGGCTGGCTGAGGGTCATGCCCCCTTCGGAGATAAATGACAGAGGAAGGAGAAAGAAGAATTCAAACAAATAGATCTTTGATTGTAAAACATGCAACAGCTTTTAGTGACTTGCCAGTGTTAAATAAACTAAAAAGATCTTTAACACAGCAACCAAGTATATCTATAGTTCATCCCACTGCTGTGTTAGTGCATGAAGGTCAATCAATGCCATGCTCAAGAAACAACAAAGGGCTTGCAGTCACAAGGCCACAAAGACATAAGCCTACTTTCTGTTCCTTCCATTGCTCCGTGGCAGTGTCTGTTGAGCAGGTGAAGCATCTGGGATAAGGCTAGCCTGTTGGGCTGCCTTGCTTTCAAAAAATGAGCTGAGAATTGCAATTTTGGAAAACGACGGCTCAGCCTTCTTTTTCTTCTTCTCTCCAGGTCTAACATTATCCTGAGGTGAGGGTGTCAGAGGAGCTGACTTGACTTTCGGAAGAGACCTTCTTTGTCCGTCTGAGGTAGAAGGCGAAGAAGTTCCGGCAGATTTACTACCAACATTCTCTGGGCAGGGTAGGGAATGCAACTTCTGCTTCCTCTGGCTACTTCGGCGGTCAAGAGTCATGCTGGTGGTCAGACTCTTCATGAACTCTGGGCCAACAGGACTGACCAACAGGTCCAGACCAGGCATATCTGTATCTCTCAGTGTGGGAGATCTTGAAGCGTTGGGAGAAGCCAATATGCTCTTGTAGACGGAAGTGGTTTTAGTTTTCTTCTCATCGATTTTCTTGCTAAATGTTGGAAACATAAAGGCAAGATGAAACTCATTCTAACATTAACAAATCTGCTGGGATGATGAATGACTAACCCCAAACAATAAGAAGACCTTGGAGCATTGGGAGAAGCTAAGATTTTCTTGCAGACAAATATCGTTCTGATCTTCTTCTCTTTGATTTTCTTGCTAAGTGGTGGAAACATAAAGGCAAGATGAAACTCATTCTAACATTAACAAATCTGCTGGGATGATGAATGACTAACCCCAAACAATAAGACCTTGGAGCATTGGGAGAAGCTAAGATTTTCTTGCAGACAAATATCGTTCTGATCTTCTTCTCTTTGATTTTCTTGCTAAGTAGTGGAAACATAAAGACAAGATAAAACTCATTCTAACATTAACAAATCTGCTGGGATGATGAATGACTAACCCCAAACAATAAGAAGCCCTTGGAGCATTGGGAGAAGATAAGACTTTCTTGTAGATGGATATCGTTCTGATCTTTTTTTTTATTTTCTTGCTAAGTGGTGGAAACATAAAGACAAGATAAAACTCATTCTAACATTAACAAATCTGCTGGGATGATGAATGACTAACCCCAAACAATAAGAAGACCTTGGAGCATTGGGAGAAGATAAGACTTTCTTGTAGATGGATATCGTTCTGATCTTTTTTTTTGATTTTCTTGCTAAGTGGTGGAAACATAAAGACAAGATAAAACTCATTCTAACATTAACAAATCTGCTGGGATGATGAATGACTAACCCCAAACAATAAGAAGACCTTGGAGCATTGGGAGAAGATAAGACTTTCTTGTAGATGGATATCGTTCTGATCTTTTTTTTTGATTTTTTTTGCTAAGTGGTGGAAACATAAAGACAAGATAAAACTCATTCTAACATTAACAAAATCTGCTGGGATGATGAATGACTAACCCCAAACAATAAGAAGACCTTGGAGCATTGGGAGAAGATAAGACTTTCTTGTAGATGGATATCGTTCTGATCTTTTTTTTTTGATTTTCTTGCTAAGTGGTGGAAACATAAAGACAAGATAAAACTCATTCTAACATTAACAAATCTGCTGGGATGATGAATGACTAACCCCAAACAATAAGAAGACCTTGGAGCATTGGGAGAAGATAAGACTTTCTTGTAGATGGATATCGTTCTGATCTTTTTTTTTTGATTTTCTTGCTAAGTGGTGGAAACATAAAGACAAGATAAAACTCATTCTAACATTAACAAATCTGCTGGGATGATGAATGACTAACCCCAAACAATAAGAAGACCTTGGAGCATTGGGAGAAGATAAGACTTTCTTGTAGATGGATATCGTTCTGATCTTTTTTTTTTGATTTTCTTGCTAAGTGGTGGAAACATAAAGACAAGATAAAAACTCATTCTAACATTAACAAATCTGCTGGGATGATGAATGACTAACCCCAAACAATAAGAAGACCTTGGAGCATTGGGAGAAGATAAGACTTTCTTGTAGATGGATATCGTTCTGATTTTTTTTTTTGATTTTCTTGCTAAGTGGTGGAAACATAAAGACAAGATAAAACTCATTCTAACATTAACAAATCTGCTGGGATGATGAATGACTAACCCCAAACAATAAGAAGACCTTGGAGCATTGGGAGAAGATAAGACTTTCTTGTAGATGGATATCGTTCTGATCTTTTTTTTTGATTTTCTTGCTAAGTGGTGGAAACATAAAGACAAGATAAAACTCATTCTAACATTAACAAATCTGCTGGGATGATGAATGACTAACCCCAAACAATAAGAAGACCTTGGAGCATTGGGAGAAGATAAGACTTTCTTGTAGATGGATATCGTTCTGATCTTTTTTTTTTGATTTTCTTGCTAAGTGGTGGAAACATAAAGACAAGATAAAACTCATTCCAACAATAGCAAATGTGCTTCTCTTCTAAAAACTGACTAAACTCTTGCTATTTGAGAGGTCTCTAATCCAAAAAAGAGGCAGTGACTAGTGAGGCTTCAAGAAAAAGGGCAGCTGAACAGCGCAGGCAGGCTAGAAATACCAATATAACAGGTGCTTCACCTACAGACACTGTTCCCTGCCCTCATTGTCCTAGATCCTTCCGGGCCCATATTGGACTTATAAGTCACACCCGGACTTACAGAATTCAACTATAGTTTCATGACGGATGAAATAAACAACAAATCACAATAAGTTCTTCTGCAAGACAAATAAACAGTATGAGGTCCTCGGCAGACCTTCAAGAATATGAGGGCCCGCAGGTCGTAGCTAACTGGGGGCCACCGTGTCAGAATGTAGCAACACCAGTCACCATCAGAGGTGCCATATCTAAGAAGAACTGACAGAAGTCTTGCACACACCAATGACACATCTAAACTCATTCCTACATTTAACCCTTTGGAAAGAAGGGAAAAAAGGCCAAAACAATGGAATTCCCCAAAAAATCCTTACCAGAGAAACAGATCACAAAATTTTTTCCTAAATTCATCAATAGACATTTTAGAATCTTTTAAAAGAATAACAAAAGGGAGATAATTGTCACAAAAGAAGCTGATAGTTACATGAGTAAAATCCCTTGGGCATAAAATTACTAAAAACTAAGAAAAGAGAGAAATACATGTCATAATGGTCCACCATACACCCCCCTCCCCAATCCCAATGCTATTTTTAATAAATATAATCATACCGAGACCTCCTAAACACTGTGCAGGCACAAACATAACCAATGCCATTAACTAGACTTTTAGGGACTGGCCAATGCACAAATGCCAGTTAAGCAGCTTATCTGAGATTAGTAACAGATAGAAATGCCTGGTTTGCTGCTGTGTCTTGGGATGCAAGAATTAATAAATGACCTCAACACAGTTGATATGCAAGGTTCTAGAAACTGACAACACTGCCAAACACTTCACAAACCACAACAAAAGAGGGAGACATACAGCTGTGATAGCATACAATAAACTGTGGCAGTATTTATCTTCTACCAATTATCTCCCAATGGAGCACAGGCTTTCAACTCATTCACTCATAGATGTCCTGTCATTTGCAGATCCCCCATGCCTTCCCAATAAACACACACATATATATAGATATCTATATATGTGTGTACATACACACACACACATATATGTGTGTAAACATAAACACACACATGCATATATAAATACATATGTATGTATTTACACACACATTTATCTATATATATATATATGTGTGTGTGTGTGTGTATATACACACACACATACATAATATGATATAAACTCTTTCTCTAAATTTCTTTTGGTCCGTCTTGGCTTCTCTGACCCTACAGATTCCGATGGAAGGACATTCCAATTTTATTATATCATCCTATCTCAATGTGTGTCATATCCACCACCAGTGTCTTTTCCTCACCTCCTGATACACCAGAATTTGTTTAGTACTCTCCTAAAGCTCCACACTAGTGAATCTGCTGGAGCATTCAAATTCCCTTTATTTGATGGTACACAAAACAACTATAAACTGACAATAAACTTTCATGGTGACAATGAAAGCAGCAGGTAACCAACAAAGGTGGAAGGGCAACAGTACACCCATAACATCTGGTGATGGCAACCACAAACAACAGAAACTAAAACACATCAATAACATTAGTAACAGTCTCAGACAGGAGTCGGGAACATCTGGCCTGTATAATCTGGCCGTACCAAGATAAATGTTTGGCCAAAAACATCAGGCACATTTTTAAATGCATAATACTGCATGGCCCATGAATCACGTTACAAAAATCCATTTGGCCCCTGGCAGAAAAAAAAAAAAGAAAAGAAAGATCCCCATTCCTGATCTAAGACCATTACACTGGGTTTAACAGATTTTGCTGACAGGGCACGTCACACATGAATAGGAAGGTACCTACCGGGGTGAAAGCATCAATGGTTCTAGATGTGGCTTGTTGCTGGCCAACATACTGGAAGATGACGGCTGTTTTGGCAGGTTGCTTTGAGCCATGGCTGCGTCGTGCTGTAGTTTCCGCAGCCGCCTCTCTATCAAAAGGTAGTAAGTAGCAGCAATGTGATCGTAGGCATCCCGCTCCAGTGAACTGGGAACAAAGACAGCAATGGCACAATCATTAGTTCATCAAGATTTTTCAGAGTGGATTTTGGTCATCATTAGTTCATCGAGCTCATAAGAGTGGATTGATGAAATCATCAGTTCAACAAGTGCATAATAGTGAACTGCTGTCATTAGTTCATCAGACTGATTGTCAACATTAGCTCATCAAGTTCATAAGAGTGGATTATTGTCATCTTTAGTTCATCGGTCTGGATTCAACCCAGCCTGCTGTAATCATTAGTTCTTTAAGTTCATCAGCCTGAATAACTGAACCCAGCCTGCTGTAATCATTAGTTCCTTAAGTTCATCAGCCTGAATAACTGAACCCAGCCTGCTGTAATCATTAGTTCCTTAAGTTCATCAGCCTGAATAACTGTCATCGTTAGTTCATGAGCCTAGATTGTTGTCATCATTAGTTTATCAGCCTGGATTGTCACCATCATTAGTTCCTTAGTCTGGATTGTTGTCATGATTAGCTAATCAGTCTCGACTGTTATTATTATTTCATTCAGCTCAAAAAAGCAGATTGTTGTCATCATTAGTTCATCAGCCTGGATTGCTGTAATCATTAGTTCATCAGCCTGGATTGCTGTCATAATTAGTTCCACCGCCTGGATCGTTGTCATCATTAGTTCATCTGCCTGGATTGCTGTAATCATTAGTTCATCAAGTCCAGCAGCCTGACTGACATCATCATTAGTTCATCTGCCTGGATTGCTGTAATCATTAGTTCATCAAGTCCAGCAGCCTGACTGACATCATCATTAGTTCATCAGCCTGGATTGTTGTCATCATTAGTTCATCCACCTGAATTGCTGTAATCATTAGTTCATCAAGTCCAGCAGCCTGACTGACATCATCATTGTTGTCATCTTCTCACCAAGTACTATTTTGATGCACACTGATTTTCTAGAGGTGTAAAGCTATTTGAACTAGTATGCACCTCTCAAGTTAGTTGCACGTCCTTTACAGGACTTCACAAAAGCCTCTGCATTCACTGGCTGCTGGGTGGTTTTCACAATGGAGACTGTTCAAGTGAGGTCAAAATAGAGATGCTCATAACAATGCAAAGAAAAAACAACATTAAAAGTCTATGGTTGAGCACCAGAAAGGATAGCAAGGTCAAAATGTTGAAGTCATATACATCTATGGAAGTGAGTCATGGACTATTTCGCAGACTCTAATACTGACATACTCAAAGGTATGAACATCAAGGAAGACAGGCTAGTAAACAGTATACTGTCTTTAAAATGGAAATATTTTGACCATATCAAACACCTCAGTGGACTGGAAAGAATAACAGTAGAAGGCATGGTGTCAGGAAAGAGAGGCAGAGGCCAACCAGCATGAAGATGGGCATAGGATATAACTGACACCTTAGGTAGGAAAGCACAGAAGGTGAGAAGGTTCTGCAAAGGACATGCCTACATGATGATAATGTATGGTTTTACCAGAACATTCTATGATCAGTCATTTGCCATTGACTTTTAAGCCCTGAGCTGAGTTGAGTTGAGTCCAGAATCAACAACACAGCACTAGGAGCATTCACATGTGGGCTCTCCTGTAAACTACAGCCGGTAGACAACAGTTGACGGCCGGTTAGTCTGAGTTCTGTCCCCTGGCTGCAGTGCAATTACGGACTGGAGAAGGCACGAATCAAAAAACAAAGTGAGGTCGAAATGCCTGGCAGAACCCTTTGCTGCGACTCAAGTTAGCGACGGTGTTCAATTACCACTTCTTGCGACGCATTACTGATTGGATTAGAGGGAAGGAAACAAGTGACATAATTACTGTGTGTTGGCGATAGACAGCGTGCAGTGCCCTACTGTCATCATATGGTTAGGGTTTGGGTTAGGCTTTGGGTTAGGGGTAGGGTTTGGGTTAGGTTTAGGGTTAGGGTGTGGGTTAGGGTTAGGGGTAGGGTTTGGGTTGCTACGTTGAGTTTCTGCGAAGACGAGATGCGGCGACACTAACCGCAACGCTAACCCAAACCCAAACCCTAACTCTAACCCAAACCCTAACCCAAACCGTATGATTATAGCAGGGCAGTGCACGCTGTCTATCGCCAACACACAGTAATTGTGTCAATTGTTTCGTTCCCTCCTTTTCCACTCCGTAATTGCACTGTAGCCAAGGGACAGAACTTGACTAACTGGCCGTCTACTGTTGTCTACCGGCCGTAGTTGACAGGAGAGCCCAAATGTGTTCTCTGTCCTCATCTTCAGCAGCCAGCCTTATAATACACACATAGATGTCACAATCAACCTGAAATGTTGAGACACAGCACAAATGTCAGGCATCCCTGTGTGAGTTCCAGGCCTCATTCTGGAGGAGTCGTGTGCGGGGACAGACCCTCTGCTCCCAATCAAGCATGTCATAAAAGGTTTGCTTAGCTGTGTGAAATCAAATGTGCTACATCAATGGGAAAGATATGGCAGCCTTGCTGTAAACCACAATATAATGTACCAATCACCAACTTTAAGGGTGAATACAGAAGAAGAAGAAAAAGAAGAAGAAGGAAACAGAAGAAAGAAATAAAATGCAGAGCAATAAATTGTGATATCATAACTTAAATATTGCCGATCAGATATATAATAAATATGTAACACCAATATTTAAAAAGAAAAAGAAAACACTTACTGAAATATTTCATCCCTTGTGCAAATCTTTCCCTCAACCATTTTCTGAACAACGTAGTTATGGTCATCCTCCGAGATGTGTTCCCGAGACAAAAGTGGGAGGTTGATGATTTTCATATCCTCCTCAGTAGCATCGCTCACCAGCCAAGGATTCTGCTCAATCTTCTCCAGGCCAATGCGGTCTCCAGGTTCCCTAACCAGCATTTTAGCTATCAATCTGAAATTGGACAATGCAGTTGTTAAGTGATGAAACACACTTTATAGTAAAATTATACATCTTCACTAAGTCACGATGGTTGAGTTCACTGCACTGGGTTTTATCCCACATGCTTTGGTCTCTCTTCAGAGAAGACTAGCCGCCTGCTGAGGGCACTGTACAAAGCATGAATTCAGTAGCTCCAGCAATGATCCCCAGGGATCTCTGTAGAATCTGCTGGCATGAATTGAAAGATCCAGTCCATGAAACCATCCACTAGCTTGAGAGCACAAGGCAAATGCTCAACCATTTAATCATGGTGAGAACCAAGGAACCTGACCAGAGTCTCCCGCAAAAGAAACACTGGATCAGTCACAATAAAATATACCGGCTCATCGAGAATGACGGCCAGGATTTTAAACAGTTATTTTAAAAGAAATGTTTAAATGTATAAACATGTGTGGCATCCTAAAGTTTTCGTGAAAGTTTACAGTTTTGTGTTACCTTGTGGCTTAAAATGCGCTGAGAAGATAAGGAACATCCAACATCTTAAATAGAGGGTCATTGCAGAAACTGCAGCTGTAAGTCTGGACACAATTCAGAAGACTTGGCAGGAGAAAGAATACCATCTAGTCATCAACAAAGCTGCGAACGACGCCCATGTCGAAGTGTACTAAAATACGTCTCAAATGTGAAACTTTTCTGAACATTTCAGACGCCTGACATGTATACCAATGAAATACTTCTTTTATAAAAACAGTTTAAAATCCTGGCAATCATTCTCGATGATCCTGTATTACCAACTTGCACTGGTAATGAAGCTTCTTCACATCTCATATACGGCAACAGAATGTATCATTTCATGAGCAGACATATTATCATCTTATGATTACACAATACAGAGGGTGCAATACAGAGCGTTCCAACCAGCCACTGCCCCCCCCCCCCCCCTCATCTAGACCTGAAGGCTTTGCCGGAAAAGACATTCTGACAGTCTTTTAAACATTTATATAATTTCCTGTGTATGATTACCGTTTCTAGGTGAAAGTCACTTTGGTGGTTTAGAAGTTAATGATGCTAGGGTGTGTTGAAGCATGGGTACACACTGGTATTCATGTTGTGTTGATGGGTTGTGAATATAAACATTTGGGGCTGGAAATGCACTAGTGGACTGTGATCTCTGGGTTTTGGCCGAGAGAGTGAGATCCACAGAGGAACTGACTGCAGGCGGGGAAAATCCTTTTGTAGTGATTCAGTAGCTTTCAGTCTGTGAGATGGGATGGCCATGTTGTGTGAGTTTTAGTAATGTTCTTCTAGTCTGCTGGAGCTCATAATCATCCAATGAATGTGGTGCAACGTGGGTTGAACCTGGAATGTCTGATTTTCTAGCATGGACAGTTGAGTGTCAGCCCAGGTGAGTTTGGGTCGACAAAGTTGCAACTATGTGGCAAGCTGGTTGACGGAGTGTCTTAAGTGCTACAAAAGGTACTACGGGAACTCTGAGTGTGTTGACTAGTGTTGAGTTGTAATGGAGTGGAGAAGTCTCGAGAATACTTCAATGATGACTAGGCAGCAGAGGGAGGTCTGGATTCTGTTCACCAGGTGATGCATCTACCTTGATCCCTCAGGTGAAGGAGTGTCTAAAAAATAGCTGTAAAAGGGCTGTCACTGCAAATTATGCAGAGAGGAGGAGGGGAAGAAGAAGAAGAAGAAACACATGTCAGCCTGGCAGAGTACGATCTACACTTACTCTTGACAGCCCCGAGAGACATGGGTTGGAACCTGGTACTTGCAATCCATGATCATGGTGAGGGTCTCGCTGTCATTGGCCTCCTGGAAGGGTGCTCTTCCAGCCACCAGCATAAACAGGATGACTCCCAGGCTCCAGACATCTGTGAAAGTGAAATGTCATTCAGGTCAGGGCTGTGTGAGTATTTTCAAAGCAAACAGAGAAGGAGGAATAGACAGGGAAATGAAACAGAAGAAAGGAGTGAGAAAATATAATTAAAAAAGGGTCATTTGCCTCTTGGCAGTGAAACTTAGCCAACTGATTCACATCAGGAGAAACGATAAAATAGCTTTCACAAATGATACTTAAGAAGAACACTTAGCATTAAGTGGCGAGACAAGATTATAAACATTGAGGTATGGGAAAGAGCAGGTATCACAACAGTTTTCTTAATGCTCAGCCTGGGAAGGTGCAGGTGGCTGGGTCAAATTATTGGATAATGGAGAATAGTAGAGTCCTTAAGGAGATACCCTATTTGGTGAATTCAAGATGGGCAGAAGATGTAGAGGTTCGGCCTTTACTATGATATAAAGATGTGTGCGAGAAGGTCATGAATGACACAGGTACTGATGTCGATCCAACGGAATCAAAAAAAGGGTATAGAGGAGAGTCAGAACAAAAGGAAAGACAGTGGTAAGATACAAAGAACAATAAAGGTGGTACAGTGGGAAGAAAAATAAAGAGGTACAGAACAGATGGTAGGTAAGAATTTGTATGTAATAAAGCAGAGTGGTAAGATATTAAAGAGAAGATAAATTTGTTTAGAAGAAAGGAGAGAATTAACAAGGCAGGGAACAAAAACAACTCTTTTGGCACTAAGCAACACACCATGCATATGTCAGTCATTATTAAAATGATCTACTTTTCTCAACTCTTGATGCCCTGTCCAGGGGCTACACTGACCCACTCTGCCTCCAAATATTACTTAAACCCCTTCAGCCTCAAGCCTTTATAATCGTCACCTTATCCGACCTAAACATTTATTAGTTAAAAGAGCAGCTTCTAAGGATATGTTGAGTAGAAATGAAACCTTTATGGAACTAAAAGAGTTAATAATATGCACAAAAGATCAAATGTTTGCCAAGAGTGCACACAAAGCATGGAACTTAGTACCTCCAGCAACGATCCCCAGGGATTTCTGTATGTGACAACTTCAAATGTGAACCAAACAAGGCAGCCTGTGAAACAAACTTGCACCTTCCACAGTGTGAGGCAAATCGCTTGACAATTTAGCCACAGAAATCCCATATAATAAAAGATTCTTCCTCTTTGCAATCACTGGCTGTTAACTCCAGCGGAAATTTTATGGTTATTCGTCCACTTCTGGATTCTGGTCTTGTTCCAGAACTTAGGTTTTGCATGCACATCTAGTTTACAGATCTGGCTTATTTATGAGCAGACTATTGGTTTCTGATCTCTCAGGTTGTTGCATGCCGACATCAAAGGAAACAACTCTAATTAATCACGGTTTACAACATGCTTGTTAGAGGGAGAATGGATCTATTCTTGTTTCCCCCAAATTAGGGCCCTGGAACCCACACCGAGATAAAAGATTCAAACACATAATCATGGTCCAGCAGGCTGGCATGCTAACCAAAGCATTACTACACCACCTAGCAAACAAACCTGCAGGGGTCACTCCCGACCGTCAGGATAAAATCCTGTTACTTCCCGGGACTGTTAGGGGAAGCAAAGGATGAGCACCCTGCACCTACCAGACATGGCAGAAGAGGTGACTAAGGCTAGGGTTGGGCTTGGCTACTTCAGCCTTTAAAACTCTACAGCCACAAAAACTAACCAAGCATGAATAAGGCGAGGCCAGAAGCATGGGCAGAGCTACAGAGCTGATATCATCATGTCCATATAGACTAAACTGAAAAATAATGATGAATCTCTGATACTAACACAACTGTGCGACCTGGAAGTAAAGCTTGGTGACCAACTTCTTGTGGGAACAGCCAGCAGATGCACCTTGGAGTGGCTGCTGCACCTCAGGACTCAGCATTCATGGGAATGCCTGATGTGCAGTAACACTGACTGCAATAACAACATAAAAAGTGGAGGCAAAGGTGCTAGACTGACCCATATGGTAAAGACTGCGTAAGATATGGAAGACTAGACTGAGAGCCCACTGATGCCACCAGATGATATCAAATAAATCGATGACTTGGCCTCAGTTGGTTAAGGGTCTAGCTCAAATGCAGGATAAAGTAGAGTACAAGAAGAATACAATCCCCTTAACACTTGCACATTTCAAGAAAGACATGCCTACTTCAAACTTTTCAACACACACTGCATCCCTCGTTTGAATTGTAATCACCCTTTTACAAAATGTCAATGATTACCCAAGCTGAAAACATCTTCAATATTCGCCAAGGGGGAAAAAACCCACACAGGGCATTACAATCTAGAGAATGAATCTGTTACACACACCATGTATCCCTCTTTTAAACTGCTTTCAGCAATTTATAAAGTGAAAATGATTGCCACAGTTTGAAACGTCTTGCGTAATTTACCAAGAAGAAATGAACACCCTGAGACTCTTCAATCTAGAGATACAGAAAAGCAAACCTGGTGCACCGTGACAAAGGTTCTACAGACATGAAAACAAGTCCAAATGCCCTCTAATATAGAGCTGAGGTTGTGTTAAGATGCCATAACTCAACAATGCTTTCTTTTCAAATCAATGCAAGTTTATGGGCCCTGAAATAAGGTGTCAGTTCCACTTGAGTCGGGTGACCTTTGGGAAAGCTGTAGATTTTCTGATACCACGATGTAGATAGACAAGAATGCCAGCTGCAGCAACGTTTTTATGTTGACCTTCATGCTATGTTGACACTGTATAATATGGTACATGCTTACTAAACTGTTATTAACTCAGACAGTGTTAGACAGAGCACACACATGCTTACATCTTCCCCCATTTTGATGAGACAACTGGAAGAGGAGGAGGAGAAGAATGAGGACAAGAAGAAGAAGAAGAAGAAGAAGAAGAAGAAGAAGAAGAAGAAGAAGAAGAAGAAGAAGAAGAAGAAGAAGAAGTTTATTTTCAAAGAGTCCAGAATCTGAAATGCAGGCATATCTAACATTCTGCCCTTCTGATCTCGCTCCTGTCATACCAGTAACAAGTAATAGCAAACTTTATCAACAACAAATGCTGTAATGTGGTGGAAGAATACCTACATTTAAAAGCAATAACAACCAACTCTTAGTAAAATAACTAGTAAATCCGCGGGAGATAAAAGATTCAAACACATAATCATGGCCCAGCAGGCTGGCATGCTAACCAAAGCATTACTACACCACCCAGCAAACAAACTTGCATGGATCACTCCCGATCGTCAGGGTAAAATCCTGTTACTGGGACCTTTAGGGGAAGCAAAGAATAGGCAGCCTGCGTCTACAAATATCATGTGCCTAAAGTACTGTTTGACCCCCAAGGAAGAAGATAAAAGTACAGGTGGCAGATGTGTCCAGCGCATCTATATAAATCTATGTTGTTTTTGTTTTAATCACGTGAGCAACAGGGCACACCAAGATAATACTTCCTGTACACAAATTACAGCCATCTCAGCAGGGTGAACTGGGTATCTGGACTCTGTTCTCACTATTCAAGAGGTGAACTGGGTATCTGGACTCTGTTCTCACTATTCAAGCGGTGAACTGGGTATCTGGACTCTGTTCTCACTATTCAAGCGGTGAACTGGGTATCTGGACTCTGTTCTCACTATTCAAGAGGTGAACTGGGTATCTGGACTCTGTTCTCACTATTCAAGAGGTGAACTGGGTATCTGGACTCTGTTCTCACTATTCAAGAGGTGAACTGGGTATCTGGACTCTGTTCTCACTATTCAAGAGATGAACTGGGTATCTGGACTCTGTTCTCACTATTCAAGAGGTGAACTGGGTATCTGGACTCTGTTCTCACTATTCAAGAGAGAGTCCAGAAGCTGAACCTGCTGACTGTGTCCAAATGACAGCAGCATGCCTGCTCATGATGATACAACGTGAATCTAACCCAGGAAGGCAATATCATAGGCCTAGAACCCGAGCACTCTGTAACTTCAACTGAAGAAAGTCTTGATTAGGGTCATGTGTTTGTAAACTATAGGAGCATTGTTGGCAGGCTCTTGATCTACTATTTTTGTGGAAGTGGGGGAAACTAGAATACATCATGACAAAAAGAACGTTTGAGGGGAACAGATTCAGGTGGAGAACAAGAGAAAAGATATTGGGCCAGTTTGACATAAAGGTATTTAAACAGCATCTGTATTAGAAACAACTGACAGTGCACGGGTGAGGTAGAAGACCGCTGTCACACATGATTACCTCACAGCATGTACTACAAGATACGAGACAGAGGTCACCCAAAGTTAACTCCCCGAGATAGCGGTTCTTAACCTGTGGGTCGCGACCCTTTTGGGGGTCGACCGATCCTTTCACGGGGGTCGCATAAGACACATTCACTGAAGTTTTGAAGTAGCAACAAATTTAATTTTATGGCTGGGGGGGGGGGGGGTCACCACAACATGAGGAACTGTATGAGAGGGTCGCGGCATTAGGACGGTTCAGAACCACTGCCCTAAGGCGAACAATAATGAGGCCAAGGTTGACGGAATGGATTCTATCCACGAGATCGACAAGACTGAAGACGACAGAGCGGGATGAATGGATTGACTGGAAAGTTTTGAGTGCCATTTAAACGAATAAGTAAAAAAAGTAAAGATCCCTTTACACGCCCTTAGGCGCATCGGACATATGGGAAGAGCACCCATATTTTTACAGACCAATCGGCACTCGGTGGGTAATGTGGTCAGCATTACGCCGGCCGTCTTTACTTTCCCAGGACATCCCATCCTGGTACCCATTTGAGGCTGGGTCGACCTGCCACGTCCCATACCACGATAAAAATCCACGCAGCCCACGCAGGTTCGATTTAAACGAATAACATGTTGATAATGATGACGATGATGATTATGTGGCAGTTGGTGGCGACCGCACTAGTCATGGCATGCAGACAAGGACACCAGCACCATATAGCACTTACAATATTAAGCAGAAGAGTTGGTATCAAGCTGTTATCTTAGAACAGATCCGGATCAA